AGAGAGAGAGAGAGAGAGAGAGAGAGAGAGAGAGAGAGAGAGGGAGAGGGAGAGAGAGAGAGATCATCAAGCTTCCATCATGGTTGGGACTCTACACAGCTACAAAATGTGCCCTGCCATCTCAGCTAGGGTACTCATGATGCTCTGCTCTGCATCCCACTCAGAGCACTCAGGGTATCCCAGCCCCCTCAACTCTTACCACTGACACTTCCCTTGTACTGGTCATGTCATTGACAACCTCTGTGATTATAAAACAAAACTCAAACAAACTAGGCCCAAAAGAGGGAACTTGCTGGTTCACAAAATTCCAAGTCCATCACAGCTTCAGGCATGTCTGGGTCTAGTGTTAGCAATGTCATCTGGACACTGTCTCTCCTCATCTCCAGCACAGCTCTGTCCTATGAGGAATCTCTCTCATTTAGATTCTTCCTAAGCAGGAGAGTTGTCAACAACCTTGGTGCTATGAGTCTCTGACTCACTATGGTAAAGGCTTCTTAGAGCATTTTAAAACACCCCTTCTTCCTCTCTCTCCCCTCTGTGTGTGTATAAGATAGATGATACAAATATGTAAAATTAAAATATTAACCATTAATTTTATGTTCACTGAATTAAAAAAATACATTGACAGTGTGTTGTCACTTTTATGTAGCTATGACCAAAACATTTCCTAGAATAACTTAAAGAAGGATGAATTTATGTAGCTCATGGTTTCTGAGGTATCTGTCAATCATGATAGGGAGGGTGTGGAAGAGAAGATAGGAAGCAGAGAGGGAATATAGAAAGGAGTCAGGGATGATCTAGTCCCAAAAGACTCACATCTATTAATTTGCTCCCCCCAACTTGGCCCCCTTTTCAACACCTCCCAATAATGCCAGCATATTATGACTCCATCAAGGGAGTACTCCATTGATTATTCAGGGTCCCCATGATGTACTCATCTCTGGAAATACCATACAGACACATCCAAAGGTATTTGTGTCTGAGTCAAGCTGACATAGGAGATTAACTACCACAGACTGAAAACTAACTATATGAAAACATTCTATTCATAAACTCATGTTAAGAACCTCTGTCCAATCACTCTATATCCACTTTTCCATAGCAATACCCTAAGGTCCCAGGATTGATCCTCACTAGCCCAGCCTAAGTTATATGACCATCTCTGAACCAACCATAATAATCAAGAATATGGGATGTGCTGATTGGCTAGGTGTGTGTTAGTCCACTTGGAGGCAGGTGGATAAGCAGGGTCCAGACTCCTCAAACCAAAGGAATAGAAAAGATGAGGGGTAGAGGTGCAGGCACAAAGTAGAAATGGACAGGAAGTCAGATGCCCACTATCCTGGACATGTGGCCAATGATACAGAATGTGTGCTTATAGAGACCCAGAAAGGACAGTGTTCAGAGAGATATGGACCACCCAACTGAGGCAGAAACTTCTATGTCCCAGATGGAAAATCACAGGACTTAGGTTTGAGAGTAATCTTCCCCCACCTAACACCAACAACCTTGGCCAAGACATTTTTTAACTTAAAATTTTCTTTTGTGGAAGAAATAAAAGGGAGTCAGATCTTCTTGAGTTAAAGGCAATTGTGAACCACCTAACATGGGTGTTGGGAACAAAATTCAGGTTCTCTGGAAAAGCAGTGAGCACTCTTAATTGCTCAACCATTTCTCCAGTTCCTAAATGTGATAGATATTCTTGGTTGTCTGGAAGTAACTAAAACCAATGTGGTTGAGGACACAGGCAAGAGATTTTTGATTGACTCATTTGAGGTGGGAAGATCGCCCCTTAATCTGGGCCACATCTTCTGGTAGAAGTTTATATAAAATTCATGGGAGAAGGAAACTCTTGTTCTTTGCTTGCTTGCCCTCACTCTGCTGGCAAGTCCATTCCTTCACTGGTTTTAAAGTCTGCTTCTCAAGGATTCCAGCATATACTGAAGACCAGCTGAAACATGGACTTAACAACTACTGGATTCTTGGACTTTTCATTGGAAGATAGCTAATGTAGGACTGGCTGGACTACAGCCTGTAAGCCACTATAATAAATCATATATATTATATATAACTAAGCAGCCCTGACTAATGCACTGGGCAAGCTACTTATGGTGGTCAGTCTTGGTTGTCAACATGACTGGATCAGGAGATGTCTAAGACTGATGAGATCCATCCATCTGTGTGTCTGGGGTGGGTATAGGGGTTTCAGAGAAGAGTGACAGGTGAGAATTGACTTGGTAAAGAAAATTCCCTTAGAACAGGACCTTCCAAAAGACAGTATAGATAAGAAGTCTAAGGGAAAAAGGCAGCCTCTGTGGCTGCATCCCATCCGAGTGTGTCACTCACTGCAGTGATCTTGTCACATCAAACTCCTGCTTCCTAACAGCAGGAACGCTCTACAAAGTTTCCAGGCTTTCTGTACCAGACTGCGACTGCCAGGGTATCTAATTGTCTTGAACTAAGCAGCTCCTTGTTCTCTGCCCACCCTTCCCCCCAGTTTGGAAAGGTCTTTGGGCCTGTGATCCTACAGAAGGTGGGAATGCTCACCCATTTAAATGGGGTTTTAGGACTTGCTTTAATCCCATAGTAACCACTAAGCAACTATGTAGACTTCAGATGAGTTGCTCACTTTTCTGGGTCTCAGTTTCATTGTCAATAAATGGCTAAACTGCCCCCCTCCGACTGCCCTGCTATGGAGAATTTGTAAGTTGGAAAAAAGAAGTATCCAGCAAGTGAAGATCAGGATAAATCCTGGATCCAGAGGCACCAGATACTGTGCCACTCAGAAGTAAATAGCCTGTAGAGCTGAAAAATGGAGAGTGAAGCCAAGGACCCCTAGTCATCCAGAGAGACAGGAAAATGGCCCTGAAGAGATGGACTATGGTGTGAAGAATAGGAGGAAGATACGTTTAAGGACTGGTTTAGCTCCCTTCTGTAAATCATGGCCTGGAACCTGGAGCTTGATAGACTGTGTGCACAGCATCAAGCTGGAAAGAGGCCTCCATGGGATTCACTTTTAGTCCTGTGGGGTTCTTGATTCAGTGGCTGGGCCAGAGGTTGGGCCTCTGAGACTTTATGCTGTGACCCGTGTTACTAAATCAATAGCCACAAGAAGAGCTGTAGTGAGAGGCTCAATCTGGAGAATGAAGGACTAGATGTTGGCATGTCCCCTTGAATCACAGAGGAGAGGTCCATAGTCCTAAAATGGAGTTAGGGACATCTCTAGGGTTGTAATGGGTAAAAGGCCAAAGAACCATGTAGATCTGAGACTTGAATTTTGTGGTATTCTTGTTTTAGATGTAGATGTAGAATTCAGTGGGTATGCCATGTGTCCAGCCTAACTAATTTTAAACTACACATCCATTGTGTGCTCATCATTCAGATCAAGACAGAGCATATTTCCAGTACATGGCCCTGCCAAGCTAACATGTATTCTAACTTATACCACCATTGATGAGTTTCATCTGATTTTGAACTTGATGTAAATGGTTTTGTGTTATTTTAGATAACCTTTCCTGGGAAATTTACTTCTATTCTCCAGTACTGATTACAGATGAAAAAAAAAGTTTCATCCACATTCTTCTTGGTGAATCAGTGAGTTTCTTCAATTACTTACAGGAGTGTAGAAGACACAGACACCTGTCTTAGTTAGGGTTTCTATTTCTGTGATAAAACACCATGACCAAAAGCAACTTGGGAAGGAAAGGGTTTATTTCATCTTGCAGCTTGTATAGAGTTCATCATCCAGGGAAGTAACAGTGGGGACATAAGGCAAAACCCAGAAGAAGTAACTGAAGCAGAGACTGTAGAGGAGTGCTGCTCACTAGCTTGCTCCCCATGACTTGTTTAGCCTGCTTTCTTATTCACCTCAGGATCACCTGCCAAGAGTACCACCCACAGTGTCCTAGGCCCTTCCAAATCAATTTCTGTTTACAAAAATGTACCATAAGCTTCCTCACAAGCCAATCTGGTGGGGACCATTTTCTCAGTTGAGGTTCCCTATTCTTGACTGTAGCTTATGTTAAGAGTCATTGGAGGTGGGCTTTCAATTTTCAAAAGCTCAAGCCAAGCCCAGTGTCTCTCTCATCCTGTTGCCTACAGATCCAGATACAGAACTAGCAGTTACCACTCCAGCACCATGTCTGCCTGCATGCTGCCATGCTTCACTCCATGACAATTATGGACTAAACCTCTGAATCTGTAAGCCAACCCCAATTAAATGCTTTCTTTTATAATAGTTGCTGTGGTCATAGAGTCTCTTCACAGCAATAGAACATTGACTAAGACAGATCTTAATTTTAGCAAAGTCCAGGTATTTATCTTTTATTGCCATTGTTCCCTGTGCTTGTCTCTAAATGTGACATGAAACCAGGGGATAGTCCTCAAATTTCTATCGGCAAAGGAACTATTACACAATATTTCCTTTAAAATTACAACCTCCTATATTAGAGGGAAGCCCCTTAAGATACAGGATATAGATGGAAATGTGAAGCAGCAGGGTGATCTAAGGGGAGGTGAGACCTTTAATCCTGCAGGGAAGCTCATTAAGCTAAAAATGTACTTCAAAAGCTTCAGAAATTCCTGAAGATTCCCTAAACCCCTCCCTCGCCAAGTAGATTGTCTTAGTCAGTGCTCTATTGCTGTGAAGAGACACTATGACCACAGCAACTTTAAAAAAAAATTTAATTGAGGCTTGCTTGCAGTTTCAGAGAATCATTTATGTTCCTTTAAGTAACTCCAATAAAACTCTTAGGTTCAACAAGTTAGACTTTGGTGGTATCATTACTTTGATCTGTCATCAGTTTCCTATCTGGGGTGAGTAGATATCTGTTCTCATCTTCCCAGGAATAGGATCACACAACAGGAGCCTCCTAAGAGATAGATTACAATGCCCAGTTCCTTGACAGTCCCTGGGGATTATAGGTGAGAGGGCTTTCCTCCTGCCCTGTTCATCTTATGCCCTACAGCCCCAGTGCAGTACATAGTAGGAAGAACAGGCACAAAACAAATCCATCCTGAACAAGTCTACATACTTGTTGAGGGCTGGCTCAGGAATCATAACAGCTTGGTCTATAGAAATGTCCTGAAGTATTTTCTCTGAACTTCCGGTGTTCTGAAGTCTTATATTTGTTCTGCCCCATCCCTGCCTCCCTCTGTTGTGTGGGTGGTAAGGTGAAAGGAGGCTCTCGGAGACAGAAAACATCCAAGTTCTTCATAACTTCTTGAGTCCACAGACATGGAATGGAGCTCTCTGCCTCTGCTCTTGCAATCCTTCACATGCTCCAGTTTCTTCACCTATACGATGGGGATAGTGAACATATGTGCTTCTCAGAATCCTAGGAAGAATTATCTGAGATAATGCATGCAAAGTGCCTATCCTAGCATGTAATCCATGCTCAATACATAGTAGATAATTTTATTTATTAACTGCCAGATAGGACAAGCTCCCATTTAGCTTCCTAGCTCTTAGTGATGGCCTGTTGTCTCTGTTGGAAGTTTGGCTGCTCTGTGTCTTCACTTCCATGCAAATGTTTAGGATGTCCTGGACAGTTCAGAGGACACACCTCTAGCCCATCCTGACAGGCTCCTGTCCTATCCTGTTCTGACCACAACTTATCACCGAAGCACCCCATGACTTCTCTCACTCTAGAGCTCCCAGCTGTCAAGCTACCCTGCTCATTCTGTCCGGTTTCCCAGTGGATCTGACTTCATCTATGCAGATTCTGGTGGCACCAGCTGCTGTTGGCTGGCAGAGATTTCAACCATGAAATTTGTTCAATACAATAAAATGCCATCATCCCAAGGAAGCAACAATTGGGAATGAGCATGTATGCTCTTAAGATTTCAGAGCATTCCTCAGTTATTCTACCACACTGAGACATTTCTGCCCAAGGACCACAGACCACGTCAGAGAATCCTGGCATGGCCTGACCAAAGCACAAGCCCTGGGCCTGTATTTCATCCCTAGCATCTAGTCTATGTGTACGAAATGAATGAACTAACTAATGACAGGTCCCCAAGCAATTTGGGTTCACTCATGCATACAAGCCTTTGATTTCCATTCAGCAAGCAGGAGCAGCTAACTGGTTTCACTTAGTTTTTGTGACCAGAGCTGAGGACTTCTTTTGTAAGACAGTCATGGAAATGGGGAGTGGGGGAAGTGGCAGAGTTCTCACACACCTCATCTTTTCAAGAGCCCTCCATGGACTCCAGGTTTCTCTGACTTCACTAAACTCATTTTCTAAATCTGTGTTCTAGGTACCTGAAAATTACAACCTGATATGTCCTTTAGGCTCCATCTATATTGCCAACACCCCTTTCTCTGTCCCTTGGAAAGACAGACCCATGAGAACCCAAACTGGAAGTTTTGATGGATAGAGACTCCACCTCAGATACTTATTATACAGCGTCTCAAGGACAAGCATTCTTAAAAAGAATCCTTCCAGCTGTGCAATCACAGTCATGTTCATTCACTCACTCATTGTATCTTTCAAGTCTTTCCCAGGCCCAGGCAAAGCAGCTGATACTCCCCAATCTACAGATTTGCGTTTGACATTTCAAAATTAGATGGCCACAGATGGGACATATCTGTGTCCTATCCTGGAATCTGAAAATTTTAATACAAATAAATGCCTATGCTGGCCATCTCCTGATACATGGAAGGAATTTTTGGTCAGCACAAAGCCTAATAGTCCCGGCATTGACCTTCCCTCATGGACACCGGAATGTTTGGGGACCTGAGTCCTTAAGGTTTTTACTTCTTTACGTGTCTTAAGATGGGTTGTACATAACTCCCTGAAGAATTAGTCTGGCCACTCAGCAGATACAGTTGGCCATTTCTTCCCATTCTCTTAACATCCAGGCTTTTCAAACAGAAGCCTGTCAAAGTGATATCACTGGCCAAAAAGGACATTATGGAAGATGATGCTCCATTGTCTCTTGTCTAGAGCACAGGACGCCCCATAGCAGGAGCTGCTCCTGAAGTTTGCCCACAATGAAAATCATGCCACAGTTCACAAGTTTGCCCATTATACCTGGTATGGGTTCCTACAAGTCCTGCTTTTCAAGGGACTGGAGAGGAGTCTCTGTAAGCAGAGATAAGCCTCATGAATGCACCAGTCTTGCATAAATGGTTGTGCCTTCATGAAGGAATTTCACTATAGGAAATCAGATGGGACCTTACGTGTTTCTTTTGGCCTTAACTCCTGAGCATTTTGACTGAGATATGGTATCTCTCCAGAGTCAAGGCCTGTAAACTGACCTGAGAGACAGGGTTCCCTTCCCTGGAAGGACATAGCCATAAAGTGCTGCCCAGCTGTTGCTGATTCTCTTACTCTCCTTTCTCTGCAACTTTGTAAACCCTTTGACTGTCTTTCAGGTGTGTCCATCGACAAGCCCTATATAAAACTGCCTGACCCAAGAACCATTAGGCTCCATGATGTCTATTTGCTGTGTGGTTTTTGAAATTTCCTGGTGGTCATTACACACATTCATAAGCACGAAGTAAGTAGGAACACAGCTGTTGCTTAATGATTAGCTAGCACTTCTCAGCACAGGCTTTCATTGCACATTGTGCAGTGGTAACTTGTGAGAAAAGTGGCCAGGCTTGGCACAGGTCTGCCATCCCAGCTACTAGAGAGCCTGAGGGAAGATAACAAATTTAAGGCCTAGGTTTTATTATGAGCTCAGGGTCAGCCTGAGCACCTTAGTGCCATATGTATTAAAATAAAAAGTATACAGTAAAAATTGTGGCTCAGTGGCAGATTGCTTATGTAGAATATGTGAGACCTTGAGTTCAAGCCCCAGGAGTGGGGGCATGGGAGAGGAAGAGGAGGAAAAGAAAAAAAAAATGCTGTCCACTAATAATGCCTGCAGCCAGCACATGGAGGGCTAAGTGCTTATTCAGAGAGTGTCACTCCATAGCTGTGAAAGGGAAATTGACCAAACCAGTGGGGATTCCCCAAGGTCAAGTGTTAAAGGCCTTTTCCCCAGATGTTCTCAGTAAGGATGTAATAGGATCCATAGAAAGATGATGTCACCTCTCAGGCAAACAAGGGACTATGCAGCAGTCCCCCTGTGATATAATCACCCCCAGGAACTATAATTGAAGGAAACAATATTAACCACTGGAGCTTATTGGGTACTTCCTCTATGCCAGGAAGGATGCTAAATATTTTGCATTTATTATCTCAATTAATCCTTCCATCTACAACCATGGGACATTTGTTATCATGGTGTCATTTTACAACTGAGAACATTAAGGCTTGGGTTAAAGAATTCACTGAGTCATAGAGCTAGGTGACATGCCAAAGTCTACTTGCATTCAGGTCTGTTTGTTTTAGAATTGTTTTGGCCCACTGCCCTGCCTATGGCATACCCCTGTGGTATGTTCCTTTTATAGGAGGCTCTAGAGAGCTGGAGATCAGCCTAAGCTTACCCAAGCAGTAAGGGCAACAATATCACCCAGACGACAAGCCCTGGGAAGTTCCCTTGTGGTGGTTTGGATGAAATGTCCTCTATAGGTTCTAGAATTTGAATATTTGGTCTCTAAGTGGTGACATTGATTTTGAAGTGTGGTGGTTTGAAAGAAAATGGTCCCCAAAGGGAGTGGCACTATTAGGAGTTGTGGCCTTGTTGGAGGAAGTATGTTGCCTTGGGGGTAGGCTTTGAGGTCTCTTTTTTCTCCAGCTTCCCTCAGAGTGACAGTCAGTTGACTTCTTGTTGCCTGCAAGATGCAGCACTCTTAGCTTCAACACCCCACTGTCCTGCTGTCCTGATCCTCTTCATGGTCATAATGGACTGAACCTCTGAAAATGTAAGTAAGCCACCTTCAATTGAATGTTTTCTTCATAAGAGTTGCTGTAGTCATGGTGTCTCTTCACAGCAAGGTAAAACTAAGACAAGAAGGCTTAGAAAAGTGTGGCCTTGCTGGAGGAAGTGTGTCATTGCGATCCAATTTGGAGATTTGTGCCATTTTGAGTTTGCTTTGTTTTCAGCTTGGAATTCAAGATGGGAGTTCCCTGCTTGCTGTTCTAGCTACCATACCACTATACCTGCTACATCTACATCTTCATGGACTCTAACCATCTGGAACTGTAAACTCAAATAAATACTTCCTTCTATAAGTTACCTTGGTCATGGTATTTTATCACAGAAATAGAAAAGTAACTAATAAAACTCCCAGTCTGAATGGGGCTATGGTCCACAATGGTTCTTCTGGCCTCCTTGAACCTGGGTGTCTGAACATGAGTGAAGGTCCTATCTCAGTCACTTAACCAAGGAGAAAATTTCCTTCCTGCTGAAGATTCAGCTCTTCTTTCCTCATCTTATAATAAGAGCATAGCTACAATAATCCCTAAACCTGCCCACAGCCTCTTTCTATTTCAGAAACCAAAAATGAATTTCTGTTTTAATCTCACCCACTCCTAGCAGCCTCCTGTCATCCCCATTGTTAATACGGGTTTGGGGTACATGCTTTTTAGTTATGACACCAATAGTACCTGGCTTGCCTCAAAATATGGCCAGTACTTGGTGCATTCCATGAAGACAGCCTTTCTTGGTTCATTCTAGGGAAAGGGGGATGCTCTCAGTTTGCTGTGCCACTTCCAAGCCAGAAGAGAATGTGCTGGGACAATGCTCACCCACTAGACAATTGCAGAACATGGCCCCCCTTCCTATGGTGAGATGTCTTACCACCACGCAGTCACTCCATCAATTATAGTTCTAGATGAACCTTTATGAGTTTCACATGAGAAATTAGGTATACAAATCCTATTACCAATTCAGCACCCAACCCTAATTGAGGTCTGAGAGCTCTCTGTAGAGCCTCGGTCAATATTTGCTGAAAATCAAGTACAGTCCTCGTTATAATTCAATATAAACAATGCATGTCACTGTACCAAGGCATTCTCCGGGCTCAAGCATGCTCCAGGCTTAACTTAAGCTGTACAAGTGTCCATGGGATAAAACATTTTTTGGTACCTCTGTCAAGTGCCAAGGCTTGGGCTTCACCAAATGAAAGTACTCTGCTGTCTCAGCACTCAGAACTAGCACTCTTGGTAAATGACAGGAACAGAGACCAGCACAAACTTGGCATTCAAGTGAGCAAGTAAGCTCATATGTGAGTGAATGTGTGCATGAGGTTCTAATAAATGAATGAGGAGTGGGAAGGAGTGAAGAACAGGAGACTTGGGTTCATAAAATCGGAGTTCTGATTCTGAACTTGTCTACAGATCCCTTTTCTGGCTCATCTTCTGCACCTCCATTTTTCTCATTGATACAAAAAATGGAAATTA